ATATTTATGTTTGTGGTTGTAATGTGACAAAATATGGAAAAGTTCAAGGGGTATGAATACTTTTGCAAACCACTGTATATATATATAATTTTTTAGAACAGTTTCTCATATAATCACCTTCCTTGTCAGGACCAGCGGTTCTTTTGTGGAGCAAAGCCGAATCCTAATACTTTGCAACACAATTGTGTGTTTTAAGGATTAGGTGTGAATTGAGTTTAAAGTAAGGATTAGTGTTGGGCTACAGAAATAAATAAAAGTCATTTTCAGGTCTTGATAAAACTTTTCATTTGTTTCATGGAAGCAAAACATCTCACCAACCAGTGTTTTAATTTTACAAGGACATCCAAAATGAATGAACTTTCAGTCAAGATGACTGCCACAGCTAAGCAACTTTATCAAACACAAAAGCTCTGTTGATTGTGCAGATAATCAGATGTTTGACACAGTATTATTTGAGAGTAATTCCCAACAAGACAGGGTTTGTTGGCAGAATGGACCCAAATGCAGACAGGCAGGCAGGTCTCCAAGTAATAAAAATATTTATTAAAGAAAAGAGCTGGCGAGGCAGCAAAAAACTAAACAAAACTAACTACAAAATGAGCAAGGCAAAACATGGAACACGAGACCAGAACTGAACCAAGAATGGACTAAGGTGGACAGCATGAGAACCAGTATAAGTAGTCAGAGGCTAAGTGGAGACAGCTTTGATGATTAGGAGTGAAGACAGGTGAGCAGAATGCTCTAGAAGGGCTGAATAATCTGAGGACTGAGATGACAAGGCATGAAACTAACACTAGAGGRAAGCACAAGAGAACAGAAAACACAAACAAAACACTAAACCCTCACAATACCCTCCCCCAAAGATTGTCTCCAGACGATGACCACACAAAAACACTGGAGGGCAGAGTGGGTACCAAAAACAACAAAACAGGATGGAGGGCAAAGAATACAGAGCAGACAAGACATGGGATACAAAAAAGGCTACGATGGGGAAACAAAAAACCGACAGGAAGGTCCTGGGAAAAAACAAAAATGGAAACATAAAAAGTCTTAAGACGACCCCAAGGTGCATCTGACAGGAGACAAGTTCTCAGGAGGTCGGACTGAAGCTCGACCGAAGCGAAGCTGTAGCTCTGGAGGTCGGCCTGGAGGTCGGCCGAAGCGATGCTTTAGCTCTGGAGGTCGGCCGAAGCGAGGCTGTGGCCCTGGAGCTCGACTGAAGCGAGACTGTGGACCTCATTGAGACCCAGACGACCTGGACCCTGGAGACTTGGATACTGACGAGGGCGACTTGGACCCCTTAGACGTGGACGACTTGGACTCGGGCGCTGGCTCCGGAGACTCGGGCGCTGGCTCTGGCTCAGGAGACTCGGGCGCTGGCTCAGGAGACTCAGGTGCTGGCTCAGGAGACTTGGGCTCTGGCTCAGGAGACTCAGGTGCTGGCTCAGGAGACTCGGGCTCTGGCTCAGGAGACTCGGGCTCTGGCTCAGGAGACTCGGGCGCTGGCTCTGGCTCAGGAGATGCGGGCGCTGGCTCTGGCTCAGGAGACTCTGCTCGACCCGGGGACTTTAGAATCCCACCCGGGGGCTCTGGAGATGTGGTTCGACCCGGGGACTTTAGAATCCCACCCGGGGGCTCTGGAGACGTGGTTCGACCCGGGGACTTTACAATCCCACCCTGGGACTCTGGAGACGTGGTTCGACCCGGGGACTCTGGAGACGTGGTTTGACCCGGGGACTTTATAATCCCGCCCGGGGGCTCTGGAGAAGTGGTTCGACCCGGGGACTTTACAATCCCACCTGGGGACTCTGGAGACATGGTTCGACCCGGGGACTTTACAGTCCCACCCAGGATAACTAGAAAATGAGCGAGGCAAAACATGGAACATGAGACCAGAACTGAACCAAGACAAGCAATGAACGGACGAAGGTGGACAGCATGAGAACCAGTATAAGTAGTCAGAGGCTAAGTGGAGAGTGGAGACAGCTATGATGACTAGGAGTGAAGACAGGTGAGCAGAATGATCTAGAAGGGCTGAATAATCTGAGGACTGATGGTGCGTTCACACCAAACGTGATTTCAGCATCAGGAGCATCAGGTTTACATGCAAAGTCTATGGTGGATGCGCTTCAATCAGCGTCGAGACGGCCTGCGGCGCCTCAAGCGCAATTAGAGCAGCGCGATTTGAACGATTTGAACGATCTTAGCATTCGACGTGCTTGATGCTCAAATCGCTGAAGTTAGAAAATCTGAACTTTTGCAGCTCGATGCGCCGCGTCAACCAATCAGAGAGACTCCACTGTGTGACGTAGCGACATATTTCCTGACGGGACAGTTTACTGAATGATGTTCACTAACCTGAAACAGATGGAGAGGAGCTCTTTCTCTCTCTTGCTCTCTGTAAATAAAGCAAAGCCACTTCCTTGTCCGACATTAAACAGAGCCCGACAGAGGAGGGAGGGGCGGGGAGGCTCTTGCCGTGCAGCGCTTCAAGAGCTGACCTGCGTCTGACCTCAAAGTGCACAAGCGTCCAACTTGAAGTGTTGGATGTGATTTTGAAGCTGAAATCGCGTTCGGTGTGAACGCAGCATGAGATGTCAAGGCATGAAACGAACACTAGAGGGAAGCACAAGAGAACAGAAAACACACACAAAACACCAAACCCTCACACAACACATATTCCTAAGTGCTGTGTACTGTATTGTGCAACATCTTATTGGTGTCATCTCTTGCTGTTTTGCAAAATACCTCATGAACCAGTAAACAGAATTTAGGGAAACTCTCACTGGATGTCCATCTACAACCAGAGGTGGGTAGTTACTAGTGAGAATTACATTTACTGTTACATTTACTTAAGTATTTTTATTTTATTTTACTTTATGTTTTTTTGTATTTTATTTTATTTTTATTTTTATTTTTATTTTTTGGGAGGGGGGGTACTTTTGCTTTTAAGATAATTTTCTGAATACTCTCTGCCCACTGTAACGTGTTTTAACCAGAAATGCACCTACAGTTTTGTTGTGGTAAGACCTCTTGTTTCTTCACAAGCTTTGTTGTTCTAATGATACGTTTAAGTCCTAAACAACATGCATACCAGGCAGGTCTTTCTACAGAAACAGCCTTACACGATGTTGTTTTGAGAATAGAATGCAGCCTGACACGTGGACAATATGTGCTTGGCTGCTTTTTGGACATGCAGGGGGCATTTGACAATGTACCTGTAGAAGCTATAGAAAGAGCACTTGCCAGCAAAGGCATGGATGAGACAACAACAAATTGGCTCATTTTCATGCTTCGGACAAGGAAAGCATCTTCAACTCTGGGGGACTGTTCGATAACCTTAAACCTCAGACGGGGCTGTCCACAGGGAGGAGTAATCTCTCCCCTGTTGGCTCCTGGTTGTCGACAGCTTACTAAATGAGTTGAATGGATCTAGACTCCATACACAGGGGTATGCAGATGACTTGGTCATACTTATAGAAGGCTTCTGCCTGGGTACTGTTTGTAACCTAATGCAGAGGGGACTAAACATTGTATCCAGATGGTGCCACAAGCAGGAACTTTCTGTCAACCCGAACAAGACAGAATTGGTTCTTTTTACTCATAAGAAGTCAAGGAAAGGTTACTCACCTCCAAAGTTGGAGGGTGTAGAACTCCTCTGTCAGAGTCAGTTAAATTCTTAGGTGTCTATCTAGACAGGAAGCTTAACTGTAAAAGACGTAAATGAAAAGTGTAAGAAGGCAGCAATGTGCCTACACCAGTGCCGTAGAATTGCAGGTAGTTGCCATGCTATGCTGCTTTAATGTGGTGGGTTCAAGTCCAAGTTGGCGTGGCAAGAGTGATGCTCACCCATGTGCAACGAATGGCCTGCCTGAGCATCACAGATTCTATCAGAACAACACCCACGGCAGCCATAGAARTCCTACTGGACCTGGCTCCACTAGATTTACATATCTAAGGGGAGGCCGCATTCAGTGCAATAAGGCTATGCCAGTCTGGTAGGTGTAAAAGCCTATCTGACTCACAGCACACTAGAATCTGGGACTGGGCAGTTGCTGCTGTTCCAGTAACTGCAGGACCTGGAGACAGAATGGTAAAAAAAATACAATTTTGTGCCAAGTTTTAAGAGAGAGATAGAAGACAGGTCTGTCTGGATTAACCTCTCTACGACGGACATGTCTCCCAATCATTTCTACTGTTTTAGAGATGAATCCCTTCTGAAGGGGTCAGTAGGTGCAGGGGTGCTTATTTTGCACAACTATAGTAAGAGAGCGCATAAATACCCACTTGGTTGTTTTGCAACTGTATCTCAAGCTGAGATATATGCAATCCACCAGTGTGTGGCATCTCTCAAAGACCATCAGTGTACACAGAAGGAATTTTTCATCCTAACAGATAGCCAAGCTGCTATTAGAGAGCTCTCTGTGGGCCACATGTTCCGTCATTACTGGCTTGGGAGTGTGCCGAAGCAGTCAACCAACTGGGGAGAGATAACAGTGTTACTGTTAAATGGGTACCAGGACATACTGGCGTTTATGGTAACGAGAGAGCTGACTGCCTCGCAAAAGCTGGCAGTCAGGCTCACTTCAAAGGACCAGAGCCTGTTGTAGGTATCTTAACAACAGTCTGTAGGACTGCCCTACAGGCCTGGATTAGACGTCAACACTCAATCAGCTGGAGGGAGCTGACGGACCGTAGACAGGCACGGGAACTGAATAACGGCCCAAATCTAAGGTTTGGGAAAGCTGTCATCTCCCTGTCAAGGAAAACTCTAAGTACACTGGTTGGAGTCCTAACTGGGCACAATCTGCTCAACTGCCACAAAATGGTGWTKSTAACCTTGTGTCCTTCATCCGAGGGATGAGAAGGTTTGAATGAAGACCAGTGTCTTTTTGGGGAGAGCAATGGGCCCACTYAGGAGGCCTCCGCTCATTTTGATTTTATATCCATCCCCACTCACCATAACCATAACCAATGATATGTTGTGTCTGCTGAGGCTGCTGAGACATTTAGTGGTCAGGTGAAGACAAACACTTGACATAGTCACCGAAAGTACATACGTACACACATTAGCTACTGTAAGTAATAGTTTCATAATGAAAAAAACTTTGACTTAGAAAAGCGTTTCTTCAGCTGGAATTTGTTATTTTGTTATTGCTGTTTATTTGTATTCATTTCCTTCATTTTAGTCTTTAAAAACACCAGAATTTGCACATTACTGTCTGTTTTTGTCAGTCTGATGACATCATTTTAAAATATTAAATCAAATGTTAGACCAGATACTCAGTACTAAAACAGTCTCATTACAAAAGACCTATTGTAATTTTTTGGATGGCTATTTTTCACTTTTACTTGAGTAAAAATAAGTTGAACTAATGTTACTCTTACTTGAGTATGTGTTCTGGGTATTCTACCCATCTCAGTCTGCATCTTATTAGCTTTTGAAGTTTACTAAATTCAGATTTTACAGGTACTGAGCTTAGATTTGATCTGGTTGTATTTGACAGTTGTTCTCTAATTCATAACATTGAAATATGCATTTATTCAAAGAAGGTCAGTCGTTTTTTTTTTTCTCTGTTACATTTTGCTGACATGAGTAAGTGTTGAGCACTTGGGGGCAGTGTACTGTAGGGTTGAAGGAGGGTACGCAGGTCTAACAATAGACTAACTGTTACCATGTTAGAGCCAGAGCTCTCCTCACCTCCAACCAGTGGAAATCACTGGTGGAATTTCTACAACTGGCACAGAGCTGAGCGAGGTGGCCTCTACATACTGTTACCCACATTACCTCAAAGAGTTACAGCAGGGTGAGAGAAAAATGAAAAGGTCAAACAGACATGTTTGAGCCTGAGCAGGCTGTTTAGAAAAGCCACACGTCACACAAACCTCAACCAATAACTTAAATTAATTATGTAGTTTAAGAACAGCGTGAACGCATACGGCCACACTGGGCAAAGTTTTGTGTAATTTAGAACAAACGTGAAGACAAGAACATGAACAACTGTCCAAAGCTATTAGGTGTGTGTGTGTGTGTGTGTGTGTGTGTGTGTGTGTGTGTGTGTGTGTGTGTGTGTGTGTGT